AAGGAGGTCCTAGAGTGATGTGCCGGCAAGTCCCCCCACGATCGCCTCGCGGTCGACGCTATTGTAAGTGTTGGCGAGGTCAATCTGGACGATCAACGACTCCTGAAACTCCGAGGAGAAAGCGCGTGCGCCGTGAATAATTGCCCCGCCCCCTCTAGTGATAGCCACCCCAAATTGAAGGGGGAGGAAGTGGCTACGGGCAGTCTCAGCCGAGGAGTAGAGAGACGCTTTGCCCCCCAAGCGGTAGATAGTCTTGCCGATGGCAATGGGACATGTGCCTCCTCCTGGCTTTGTCAGAGCAAGCAGGCGGGAGGTGGTGAGGAGGTCTGCCACATCCTCTGGCAGATCCCCTATTAGCATGTGGTTGATGAGTGAGTGGAGTGTGGTGGCGACGGCAGGGTTGGCGAGGGTTGCGTCGCGAAGGTGCTCGAATGTCGTGCTCGAGGGTCCTGCGCCAACTTCGTTTTCGCAGGTACCGAGTAATCAATTGAAGCTTTCGCGTGGGATTTGAACCGCAGCGCCAATGTCCTCCGCTGAGGGCCAAGCAATTGACGCGGTCAACGCCGGTGAATGTTTTGACTTCAAATATTCAAGGGTCTTGGGGGTTGACTCGCTGACGGGTGTCGACTCCAGCGTCAGGAGAGCATGCCGGAGGCTGCCACGTCGAGCGAGACCTTCCGCCCGAGATATCTTGTCGACGGTATCTAGGGCGTGACATGGCGGTGGGGGGCAGTGGGTCGACTCGATTGCTGCCTCGTAGAGTTCTTGCCATTCACCCTGCATGAACTGTTTCAAACGATCCTCCACGTGGGTCCAATTGGGTCGTTTCGGGGAAACGAGGCGGAGTGCCTTGGTGTCAGGAGGAAAAGGCGCCAGCCCGCCAACGAAAATAAGTTTTCGCTCAGATGCAACAGTGGCGTCAGCAACGCCATTGCGAAAAGGGGGCGAAATTTGGGGGGCAGTTTGCGGGATAACAGGGGCTGGCGACTGCTGCACAGGAGGGACATGTCCCAGCTGGCTACCTTGGCGAACCTGGATTTGTCGGTAGCTAGCTCTTCTGGCGAATAGGTTCACCTTGGTTGGCTTTCCGCCTCCAACGCACCCCTGATATTCTGCCGTGGGGTCTGTGCAGCTCCCTGCGATATGGAATGCCTATTTCCGCGCGTTCTTCTTTCAGATCTCCCTGTCCGTTCCTCGACTTCGATTGACCTTTGTATGTTCTATTATGTTTTGCTATTGCGGTTACAGTAGGGGTCTCACTCCTCCATGCATGCTTATATTTCCAAGGTACCGTTAATGTTACATATACGTAAGCTTGTACTGTCATGAACCACAGGGAATTAGTTGCAGTGCAAATGTCCTAAAGCTTGCATAGAGGTTCCATGAATTGAAAGGATATGACATGTTTAGGCGAATCAATGCATGCGTAACAACCAAATGTACAGTTCACCGTAACAACTCCCCATCCATGTAAGGAAATAACGATTCCTTACTGGGTCTTGCCACAGCGAGTACACGCGAACCTCTCAGGTCCGCACGCTCGGCCCTTGGTTCTCGCACCAAACCAGCCCCCGTCGACCTTTTCGGGCCCAACCTGATCCCGAGTCGCCCCGAACCCATTTTGACCCCATCACCCTCGGGACTATCGAGCCCTTGACTGGTCCAACCTTCGACATTCAACCTGGTCAACTCGCACTATATAAGCCCTAGGTCTTATTTGGATAGGACACTCTGTAATCACGTTCCCCTATAGTATTCTGCGCTATACTCCAAATTATAATTCATAACAGCTCGTATCAGAGCCACGATTCTTCCCATCTAAGTTCCGATAGGGGAGCACACCCTATCGGGGAAGGGGGCGGAAGGATGCTAATGGCGAGCGAACGTCGCGGAGATTAATTGTCTGGGCGTTGCCGATGCCGTCAGATCATGTCCGATGGACGGCTGGGATTAGCCGGTCCTCCCCTTCCCCGGTCGTAGACGGAATTAATTTCCGCAGTGTTTTTCGGGTATGTTCGTTAGTGTTTCGTTATTTTCGGGAGTCGCTAACGAAGTGTTAGGATTGGCTTCTGAAAATAGCGAGGAGTCATCAGGCGGCTGGGAGTCGGTGGTCAGGAGAAGACAAGTGCACGGGAGTCCTCAGGCAGCCAGGAGTTGGTCGTCAGGAGCGCGCGGGGTGGCGAAAATGGCGGGACGTACGGCGATGTACGTCTTGTGCGCCATGAAGCTGCAGGGAACATTGTAGCGGTGTCGCCGGTCCCGGCGTTTCCGACAGGCTAGTTGTAGGCGATGGATGGGACTTCGGAAACTATTTCGGCATTAGGCGGATCCGACAAATTTGGAATGACACGATCGCACGAGGACGTGTGGGTGTGCAGTTGTGTGGGAGCAGCTGGGATTAACGACATCGGCACTATTCACCACGACGGCCATCTGACGATGTGCAGGAGTGAGTGTACTCAGTGAGGGCGACTTCCCGCATGGGGAGGCGTTTTTCGAGGACCAGCGATTCATACCCCCACGATCAACGGAAACAGAGGCCACCATCCATGGGTGTGTATTGAGTGTTTTCCACCGGTCTCCGAAAGCGTTAACTGTCAGGAGCCGAAGCAATGGGAGAAGAACCACGGGAGTACTGGAGCAGATAGGTTAGCAGTGTTCGGGCTGGTGCTCGCTCAGCTACGTCGGCCGGAAATCACCATCCCCACCAAGTAGCAGTGTCGACTTATTAATCGACCGCTTCTGGCTGAATAAAGGGGGTGAACATGCAAACTATGGAGTGTCCTAGAAAATTCATGAGTTAGTGTTACAGTGGAGCTGAGGGTTTCACCTGGTGCAGAAGAAAAATGTTCCGACTTTTGTGGGTGTAGTTTGACAAGTTTTCGACGGAGGAGGGAGCTGTCCAGCGGTCAGTAGGCGAGCTCGTTAAAGCTCCTCTGACTAGAAGTGTGCACACTTTTATCTATGCGGATTCTCCTAAGTACTTAAGCAGCAGCGAAGCAGTTTTGGGTAACCTGCAGCAGCCGCGAGATGGGTGAACGTCTCCACAGTCCGCTGGCAGGGGTACCAGAGTATTTTACAGTTGGGTAACAGTTGGGCGGAGATCGACGGCGTGTGATGCGCATTGACCATGATCGACGGCCAAAACATCATGCTGAGGCGGTGGACTCCGGTAAACCCTAATATAAAGGGTTCAGTTCATCCGTACAGCTGGTGAAGCAACTGTGGGGGCGCTGCTAAAGGACGCCGTGATGCCTTGACATTTTTAGGAGTGGCAGTGAGGCAGTGTTGTAGTTTTGGTTAAGTATCGATGGAGTTCCGACATTTTCGGTGGGTTTGAGGAGCAGTTCAAGATGTTACAGTTGGAGTTGTACCCGCTATCTTCAAGGGTACGAGCGCCATCGACCGACATTTGCGGAGTGTTTTGGTTGTATGGAAGGGAGACGCGCAACAACTGTTTCGTCTCTTCCCGAAAAATTCAGCGTGTACGGACAACGAAGCTGATGCAGCTGGTGTCATTTGACCCCGGGTTCAGTGTGAGTTTTTTCTCTAGAGCTGTTTTAGAACAAGTTATAGGTCATCGACATCGTCATTTTTGTCTCGCCACCACCCGCTACCACCTTCATTCTCAATTCGCATAATTTTGTAAACACAACCCTGCCGCACGTCACCACCGTCAGGAGCAATATCAAAACGAAACAATTTGCAACAGTACTGTTTGCATCTACTAGAACAGTTGTCGCTGTTTTTAAAGACCCTGAGACAGGTTTACTCAGATGACGAAAATTCCTTGGAGCGGATTTTGGAGTTATCATCGTTGGGGTTCTTCACCGGCATCTTCGAAGCTGAGTTTTATAGGAATTTTGGCAGCGGTATGGGTATTTCCACTACCCTGGAGCATTGGGTTTCATGGAATTTTACCTGGATAATTAGGAGTTGTTTCTTCTTGGAGGGGGGAGAAGTGCAGCTGTGCTGCAATTTTTCGTCCAACCCTTCGGCGTGTACCATCATCCACTTTCGATCGACGTTCGTCATCGTTACGCTTCCACGCCTGATTTCGTCACTTCGTTGATGGAGTTCGCTGACTTTCGTGGAACGCGGACGCATGCTCTTGCATGTGATACGAAGGACCTCGCGTTTAGGTGAACGGGTTCTTCATTTCATCGACCATCACGTCATTCGGCAGTCATCATTATCATCATGCAACGTGTCATCATAACCCGCCCATGCGACAGTTAATTGTTCGACATCGGTCATCTTCATTATTTCGTCACTTGAGAGTTTTCGCCATTACCTGTTCAGTCAGCTGAAGAAGTCTATAATCTTCAACGACTCTGATCGATTAAGATCGCTGCGACATGTCTCAGTCGTTGGATAGAGTTTTTCCTCATGAAGTCTCGTCATCATTGCGCCCATCAAGATTCGACGATCAGGATCTACGACGATCGTTTCGATGCTTTCTGACCATTGATCGCAGTTCAACCTCAAGACCTCGTTAGGTCGACGTAATCATTAACGCTCGTCACAGGGATGAAGACTTACAGGCATATCGGGGATTACTTTTAATGATTGTTCGGCCTCGATAAAGGGAGTGCCTTCCTTTAGGAGGAGGGAGAGTGTAAGGAATTACGATTCCTTACTGGGGCTTGCCACAGCGAGTACACACGAACCTCCCGGGTCTGCAGGCTCGGCCCTTGGTTCTCGCACCAAACCAGCCCCTGTCAAACTTTTCGACCCCAACCTGATCCTAAGTTGCCTCGAACCCATTTTAACCCCGTCACCCTGGGGACTATCGAGCCCTTGACTAGTCCAACCCTCGACATTCAACCTGGTCAACTCGCACTATATAGGCCCTAGGTCTCATTTGGATAGGGCACTCTATAATCACGCTCCCCTATAGTATTCTGTGCTATACAGTGGTTATAATTCATAACAATCCACTAAGTTAAAAAACGACAAAATCTAGGGCTCCATCCAGCGCAGATATTGTTGGCCATTCCAGTTCCAGCCTACTTCGCTGCTGGTAATAGCCATTGCCGTCTGTCCTCATCAGCAGACTGGTCAGCGGAGTGAGCAGGAGTGAGACCCCTAGAAGTCTAGGAGTGAGACCGACCTAGCTGCTGCTGACCGCGGACGAATTTAGTAGTCGACATTAGACTTCTTACCGCGCATCCTTCTTACCGACATTAGACCCCTAGTAGTCGACATTAGACTTCTTACCGCGCATCCTGATTCTGTTCTCGCACAACAACGAGAAATATCTTGCTTCTGCTGCTGCTGCCAATCGTCTTAACGAACACCCGTCGTCGTAGCAAGCATCAGACCCGTTACTCTCGACGCCAACTTTTCGTCAACTGTCGCCGGAGTTTTGCCAGCCGTCGCAATGGCGGGGAGCACGGACCTGACGAAGCAGGTGGAGTCGTTGCTGGAGGATCCGTCGCAGACGATTCTCATGGCGATGAAACTGTCTAAGAACCAGGCGTCGTGGACCGTAGCCGGGCGACGTGGGCGACTGCAGAGCAAACCGCGTATCCTCGCTATTGGCGGTGAGCATGCCGTGTATAACCATCGATTATACCGTACTTCAGGTCATCGTTGATAAGTCTTATGTGGTCATTGGTGGCACGGGCAAGGTTTACTAGCAATAAGCCATTTGTCGGCATATTCTCGGTAAAACGTGTTTCTTTTCCGTGAGCACTTAGGGCAAGAACATGCCATGCGCAGCAATTTATGGTTCCTCACTTAAAGGCACTGCTGATAGGCTATGCATGGTTTGGGCATCGCGTGACTGCTCCGATGCACACTGGCAGTGAGGCGCAAAGAGGGCGCGGGGAAGCAGAAACCGAAGATCCACATCATCAAGCCCGGGCCACAAGGACTAGAGGCACGTACAGAAGGTCGTCAAAAGACGCGTTTTCGGGGGGGGGGGGAGGGTGGGTGGTGGGTGGTGGTATATTTTGATAAATGAAGTGTTCCCTGCTGCATTTCAGATTATCTGCCAACCATAACCTTTTTTGCCCTTCCTAGCAGTTCATGCCAACCCAAGCGTTTCCTGCTCCTACAGTACGTCTCCACAGGCTTCGCTACGCCATTGCTCTTCCCTTGCCAGCTGTTTTGCCCTTCTCCGCTTCAAAATTACCACTGACTAACAACCCTTCCCTCCCCCCCTCCCCCCCCTTTCCCCATTCCTCCCCCCCTTACTTTGTCCCTCCAACCTCCCTCTCCTCCTCTCCTCCTCCTTAACCCCCTCCCATCCCTTCCCGCCCCCCACAGCTGCTTAAGTCGTACCGCTTGGGAGCCCTCACCAGCATAGAGCTGGTCAGCAGCGACACCACGGGCCGCTCCTTCCTCCTGGTATGTCCCAGCACACGTTCGTCCTGCTGTGAGATATTGTCGCGAGGTGACAGTGAAGCGAGGTGGTTTTTGATTTGAATCGTCTTAGAAAGAAGGTACCCGCCAGTCAGCCCTCCCCTCGCGAACATTGAGCTGGTCAGCAGCGAGCGACACCACCGGCTGCTCCTTCCTCCCAAGGTGGAAAAATACGGTTTTCGTATTATACGGTCCGTTTTATACGGCAAGAAAAAAAAAAAAAAAAACGGCCGTTTTTTTAATAGACATTTCTGGGCACTTCAAAAAAAAAAAAAAAAAAAACCTGCAAACACAGGTTGCAGCGTGGCTACGACGGTTTTCTCAGGGCTAAGGGGTTGGTGGGCTGCTCACGCATTCGCGTTCGTGCTGCTCTGAGACATGGTTGTGAGGTGGCTTTTGAGTCGACTCAAGCGGTGTTGCTTTTCGGCCCTCATGAGCATTGAGCTGGTCAGCAGCGACACCACTGGCCTCCTTCCTCCTGGTAAGTAAGTCTCAGCTTATGCTCGTTTGTGTCACACATATTGATCTGAGCCGTTTGCGCTGCTTTCGTCGGCTTGCTCGCTGTCGTTTGATATTTGCTTCACAGTATTTCCCCTGTGTATGCGTCTCTGGTGCGGCCATGCCTGCCTGCCTGGGCATCTTGCCGTCAGCTCAGCTCTTGTCTTCTTCCCTCCCTACCCCTCTCCTCCAACGGCGAGCTGTCAGGTGTTCGATGAGAGGACGGACAGCTCACAGCCCCAGTGGACCACACGCACAGTCGACGACAGGTATGCTGAGATGACTGGTATGCTGAAATGACTGGTATGCGCTGATACGCCAGTAGATCAGGTTTTCTACAGCTTGTTCTCCTGAGACGGCAGGTACTGAGACGGCAGGTACTGAGACGGCAGGTACCGAGACGGCAGGTACCGAGACGGCAGGTACCGAGACGGCAGGTACCGAGACGGCAGGTACCGAGACGGCAGGTACCGAGACGGCAGGTACCGAGACGGCAGGTACCGAGACGGCAGGTACCGAGATGGCAGGTACCGAGACAGCAGGTACCGAGACGGCAGGTACCGAGACGGCAGGTACCGAGACGGCAGGTACCAAGACGGCAGGCAAGTACTGAGACAGCGGGCAGGTACTGAGATGTCACTATCGTTGGTCACAACAACCAGCTGTGCTGAGATGCTCCGTTCCTGTGAATCTTCGTCCCTCTCCGCTCTCGCCCATTGCTGATCTCCCAGAAGCTGGTCTCTCTCCTCCTCAACATGTGCAAGGACTATCACAACCTCAAGCCTCCCCTTAGCTAGTAGTAACCTCCCCAACCTCCCCCCCCTTATCCCTTCAACCCACTCCTCCCTCCCCCCACCCCAAACCCCCTAACCCCCCTCCCTTTCCACCCACCTCCCGTTCCTTGTGTGTGTATGTCCAGCTGGTGTTTCTGCTCCTCAAGATGTGCAAGGACTACCTCAAGGCGCCGTTGCCCAAGGTCTGGGTGTCAATTGGTGTTCGCCCCCGTGCTGCCCCCCTAAGTGCAGGAACCAGCTGGTGTTTCTGCTCCTCAAGATGTGCAAGGACTACCTCAAGACGCTGCCCAAGGTCATTGGGCTCGATGTTGTCGACCTCGCCCTCTGGGCCAAGGTGCGTTGTCCTTATCTGGGCTCTGCTCTGCCCAAGGCGAGGCTCTGGCTCTGTTTTGGCCAAGGCCATGGTCTCTGGCCAAAGATGCGGATGGTTCTGTGCCTCAAACTAGACATGGGCACAAGCCGAGCCAGACCTGGCTCGGCTCGGCTTGGCTCGCCTTTAAGGCGAGCCGAGCCTTCTTTTTTGGTACCCGGCTCGACTCGAGCCGAGCCGGCTCGGCTCGCGCACGTGAAATCAGGCGAGCCGGAGTCGAGCCGGCTCGAGCTGGCTCGATTTCGAGCCAGCCGGCTCGCGGCTAGGGAAAGGGGGGTTTCTCGACTGTCAAATTTCAGATCGACAACCCCCCCCCCCCACCAATATTGTCTGCCAACCCTAACCTCACCCTGTCGCGCTAGTCTATCGACCTCAGCCAGCCATATTTAAACCGGCAGCTCCTCCTGATAGTTTTGTAAGATGTAGGAGTAGACGATCAGCTAAATAATATGGATTATCCCCTATACTAGAGACGCCAAACCCCATGGCCCCAATTGAGAGCCCGCACAAGCCCCCCTGACGAGCCAAGCCGAGCTGGCTCGCCGGCGAGCCAGCCCTGGCTCGATCCCATTTTCACGAGCCGAGCCGGGGATCCTGAGGACCCGGCTCGAGGCGAGCCGAGCCGGCTCGACCCCAAACGAGCCGAGCCGAGCCAGGCTCGGCTCATGCCCATGTCTACCTCAAACACCTCTGTTTTCTTTCCGGCGCGTGAAAAACCGGCTCAATGTCATTGACCTTGCGCTCTGGGCCTAGTTATGCGTTCTTAAAAAAAAAACCGCCAAGTCTTCGTTCAACCGCTTTCTCCATTTTCTCCCCCACTCCTTCCCCCCCACCCTTCTCCCCCCCCTTTCCAACCCCTCCAACCGTCCCATGCAGAAAAACGCCAAGTCGCTGCCAGGGGGAGTGCGGCTGACGGAGGAGGGGGAGAGTGAGGCGGTGGGGGTGGAGAGTGAGTCGATGATGGCGCAGGATAGCCTGGTCTCCAAGGTCGAGGAGGAGGACATGGAGGCGCTGCTGGGCACGTGAGTGCGGTGATGGCAGGTGCAGTGCAGTGACTGCAGTGTAGTGCGGTGATTGCAGGTTACATTCCGTCCGTTGAGCACAGGTTCAGTGAGGTGGTGTGAGGTGACTGCAGGTTCCCTTGCCTGGTTTGCCATTGTCGAATGCAAGTTCCTTGGCATTGTCGAATGCATGTTCCTTGGCATTGTCGTTGACAAGCTCAGACAGTCTCCCCTTCACTTTTATCTTCCCAGCTGTGTGATTAGGATCGATGATGGGGCGCAGCGCAGGTATTCTGTTCAAATGTCACATATTCTTCCCTGTCTTTCCTCCCAGCTACTGAAGAGGGAGCTTGGGGCTAGACATGGGCAAAATGCGATAGCGATTTAAATCGCATCGCAGGCGATTTAATTAAATGCGATGCGATTCAAAATCGCATCCTGCGATTTAATTTCTGGATTAAATCGCATCGCACATCGTGTTCTGCGCGCGATGAATATTAAAACCACATGCGGTATTTAATTAAATCGCGCGATGCGATTTTGAATCGCATCGCGTTTTAAAAAAGAATGAAAAAACACACCAAAAAACCAGAAAAAAACCATGGCTGCTGGGAAATTGAATCATGGGCAGTCGTAAGCTAGAGTGCAAATAAATCGTGTGGTTTCGTAGTGGATTTCAGAGTGGGTTCGCATATCGCATTTAAATCGCTTTTGCAGCGCGATTTAAATTAAATGCGCGATAAACAATTCATCGCATCGCGTCGCGATGATTTAAAAAACAAAAACAAAAAACAAAAAACAAAAAAAAACACACACACACACAATCGCAAAAACGCGATTAAATGCAGTGCGATGCGTTTTTTTTTGCCCGTGTCTACTTGGGGCACTGGAGTGATTTAGGCATGCACTCGAGTTCAACAATCCGTGCTCTCTCTCCGTTTTGTTTGTTTGTTTGTTTTTTTTTTTTTTTCCCTCTCCCTCTCTCTCTCCCCCCCTCTCGCTCCCTTTCTCTTCCGTCTCACTCCCTTCCTCGTCCTCTTTCCTCGTCAGCTACGTCATTGGCATTGACGAGGCAGAGGCCTTCAGTGAACGGCTGAAGAGGGAGCTGGGAGCTCTGGAGGCTGCAAACGTGCATGCCATTCTGGAGAGTGAAGCACTGGTGGAAGAGGTGAGTGTGTTTAGGGAAAGAAAATAAGAGGCTTCTTTATGCATTTGTTCTTAAAGAACAGATGATGTTTTGCTCTTGAACGCCGTCCTGTCCGTGTACTCTACCATCGTGCTGACGTGGCATGGCGCCAATCGTGCTGTGCTGACGTGGCAGGTGGTTGACAGCCTGGACGAGGCGGCAGGGCGAGTGGAGGACATGGAGAACTGGCTGAACGTCTTCAACGTGAAGCTGAAGCACATGAGGGATGACATCGAGTCGGTGAGTCGATGGCTGATGGTTCATGATGGTGCATGGATGGATGGTAACGAGGGGATGCTATGCTGCTGATGCTGCTTCCTCGAGTGGTCTGTGGTTGAATGGTTGAATGGTTGAATGGTAGAAAGCGGCCTGGAGCAGGGCGAGAGGAGTGGATGGGAGGGGAGGGTTTGCAAGAAGCGAGTGGAGGACATGGAGAACTGGCTGAACTTGATCAACGTGAAGCCGAAGCACATGAGCGATGACATCGAGGCGGTGAGTGGATGGCGAGGGTGAGTGGATGGTAAAGGGGCTGTGCTATGCGGCTCCCCTGAGTAGTCTGTGATCGAATGGTGGAGAGAAGCCTTGAGAGCAGGGCGAGTGGATGGGAGGGAGGGATGGGCCTGCAAGCAAGAATCGAGTGGAGTGGAGGACATGGAGAACTGGCTGAGCCGCTGAGCGAGCTCAATGTGAAGCTGAAGCACATGAGGGATGACATGACAACGAGTCGGTGAGTGGATGGCAGCTTCAAAGAGAACGAGGGAGCCTGTAACCTGTAGGTGAGCGAGTTGTGGAGGGGCCTGGAGCAGGGCGAGTGGAGTGGAGTGGAGTGGAGTGGAGGACATGGAGATGCAGGCGAAGAACGACAGGCACCAGTGCCACCGCCATCTTCAGCTTATTCGATCTCCTCCCCCCCCCACCACCCCCCAATCTCTATTCCTGTTCCTCTCTGCCCGCTCCCGTCCTATTTCCAGTTCGAGGCGCAGAACAACAAGATGCAGCAGTGCCACCTTACTCAATGGCACTATCCCTATCTCCCCCTTCCTCCCCTCCCTCCCCCCCACTCCCAAACCCCTTACTCTTTCTCCCTCCCCAAAATGCCCCCCAGATTGAGGCGCAGAACAACATGCTGGAGATGCAGGCGAAGAACAACAAGAAGCTGCTAGAAGAGCTGGACACTCTCCTGGAGTCGCTCTACATCCCGCCGCAGTGCATCCGCGTGCTGGGCTCGGGCTCTCTGGACGAGGCAGCCATGCCCAACACTCTGGAGGCTGTGGGGTGGCTGGTGGATGCTGTTAAGAGGCTGGAGCCGCCTCAGCTGGACCAGAATTACGTCAACATGCGCGCGGTAAGCCTGTTAAGCGCGCACGCGGCATGTGTGTGTACGTGTGTGTGGCATGCTTGCTCTCTCTGGACGAGGCAGCCATGCCCGACCCTCTGGAGGCTGTGGGATGGCTGGCGGATGCTATTAAGAAGAGGCTGGAGCCGCCTCAGCTGGACCAGAATTACGTCAACGTGCGCGCGGTATGTGTGTGTGTGTTGTGTGTGTGCTGTGTGTGTGCTGTGTGTGTGTTGTGTGTATGATGTGTGTGTGTGTGTCATGTGTGTGCCATATGCACATGTGTGCATCCACGTGCTGGGCTCAAGGTAGGTGAGCAGCCATGCCCAGCATGGGTTGGCTCGCTCATGGATGCTGTGAAGCGGCTGGAGCAGCCTCAGCTGGACCAGAACTATGTCAGCATGCGTACGGTATGTGTGTGAATCAGAAATACTACCGATCTGGGTGGGCTTTGCATGCGCCCATGCTTCAACGCCATGCGTGCCCGAGATCAAGTTCTGGAGTGAGAAACGAGGGAGACTGACACGATGAGGGAGACTGACACCCGGTGCGTAGAAAAAGAGGCGGATGATTCAAAGAAGGCTCTGTGCGTGAAGACAAAAGCCCACCCTCCCTCGCATTCGTGTTGCCTTTTTCTTCGGGCAACCTCGTTTCAATGCAACGACTTTAACGCCTTCTCACTTCCCATTGCTGTTTTACTATATCCCCCTTCCCTTCCAATCCGCCAGGTGCGCGAGAAGAAGTCGGAGCTGGACAGCCTGAAGAATGGCTTTGTGCGACGCGCCACCGACTTCATCCGCACCTTCGTGTCGTCCACTGTGGAGGCCGCTGCGGTAAGGAGTGGGGTTGTGTGCTTAGGGGGGTTCGGGGGGGGGGGGCTGTATTAGTGTGAGTGAGGCTCCCTGGATGCGCACACATGTGTGCGGCGAGCCACTGACTTCATCCGCACCTTCGTGTCGTCCACTGTGGAGGCCGCTGCGGCTGCGGTAAGACGGGGCCCAGGGGAAAGCGGGGGGGGAGGTGGGGGAGAGCTGGGGCGTATGATGCAGGAGTTCCGGGTTTGACCCACATGGGTGGCGCGCCACCGACTCCATCCGCTCCTTCGTCAACTCCACTGTGGAGGCCAAAGCGGTACGATGGGGGGAAGCGTGGGGGGAGGTTGGGGGCTGGGGAAGAGTGGGGGAAAGGGGGGGGGGGGTTTGAGTTGTATGACACAGTAAATGGTTTGCTGTATGTGCGCACTCGCACGTGTGCGGCGGGCCACTGACTTCATGTGCTCCCTTGTCTCCTCCACTGTAATTTGTAAAGCCTGCTGCAGTGAGGGGTTTCCCCGTCCCTTCCATTCCATTCTCCCTATCCTATCCAGTTACCCTTTCCCTTTCCCATTGGTCCCCATCCCCTTCCATTGTCCGTATCCTACAGCTCAGTGCCATCCCAACCATCGTGCACCTTGCAGTTGTCTTTCCCCCATCCCGTTGTGATGAAGGCAGCCACCTGCCGAAACTAGTGGCGTTCTCTTTTGCTTCTTGTTGTCTTTCCCCCATCCCGTTGTGACTACATGGGGAGCAATGTTCCTGTGCCATCCCTCCCTCTCTCCCCCCCCCCTCTTCCCCGCCCCCTCTTCCCCGCCCCCATCCCCCACCCACCCACCCCGCACCTCCCCTCTCATTGTGACTGCATGGGGAGCAGAAGTCCCAGAGGGGTCCGCCGGACCATCGAGAGCTCCACCGCAGATGGTCCGCCTACTCTCAGCTCATCCAGTGCCTCAAGGTGATTATAACGAAGGTGAAGGTGGCGACTATGGTGAAGGTGCATGTGACTATACGGGGGGGGCACAAGTGTTTAGGGGTCCTTGTTCTCATAAGGAGCTCCACCGCAGATGGTCGGCCTACTCTCAACTCATCCAGTGCCTCAAGGTGTTTATAATGAAGGCTGCTTAATTGAAGGTGATTGTCTTGTAACAATGGCGATTGTTAGGAAGGTAACCAAGTGTCTTTGTGAACATAAGTTTGTGCACTCCCCACCTCCACCCCTCCCATCCTTCTCCCCCTTCCCTTTCCCATCCCCCCTCCCCTGCACAGCAGCAGCTGGACTGTGGACCCCAATGTGCTGGGCAGCGTTCACAGGTCACACATTCACACTCCCTTCAGTTTGTGCACCCCACCCCTCCCATCCCTCACCCCCTTCCCTGTCCCATCCACCCCCCCCCTCAACCCTCCCCCCCACCTGCAGGAGCTGGACCCCAATATGCCGGGCAACATTCGGCAGACATACATCCACTCTGTCAACATGCTGCTGAGGCCTCCTCACTTCGCCCCTCTTCCTGCTCCCTCCCCCCTCCCCTCCACAGCAGGAGCTGGACCGCAACGTGCTGGACAGCATTTGCCGGATGTGCATCCACTCGGGTCAGCATTCTTTGGGACCTCCTCACTTCAACCCCCCCCCTACTCTCCCCCCCCACGCCCTCCCTCACCACAGGAGCTGGACCCCAACGTGCTGGACAACATTCGCCGGACATACATTCACTCAGTCAACATGCTGCTGAGGCGCGAGGTGGGATGGGGTGCTGATAGTGATGGTATGATGGGGTCCATATATGGGTGGGATGGGGTGCTGATAATAGTGATATCCATATGGGTGGGATGGGGTGCTGATAATAGTGATATCCATATGGGTGGGATGGGGTGCTGATAATAGTGATATCCATATGGGTGGGATGGGGTGCTGATAGTAGTGATATCCATATGGGTGGGATGGGTGCTGATAATAGTGATATCCATATGGGTGGGATGGGGTGCTGATAATAGTGATATCCATATGGGTGGTATGGTGGTGGTGGGATGATGGTGGGATGGTGGTGGGTGGTGGTGAGATGGTGGTGGGATGATGGTGGGATGATGGTGGGAAGTTGGTGGGATGGTGGTGGGATGATGATGGTTGGGGCATGCGTGCATGCAAATATTCATTCTCAGTTCTCAGTTTTCCCGTCCCTCGCTTCTCTGACAATCCCTCCTTACCACCACCCCCCAAACCCGCGTCCACACTCCCTACCGCACCAACTTCCCTCCGCACTTCCCTCCTGTCCCTCACTCGTCCCTCTTGGCTCGTGAGTTCTCCACTGATCTCCGTGCCTCGGTGCGGATGTTGGGCCAAGTAGCTTTTGTGTGTCTCCTCCCCTTCTCTCCTTTTCTATCCTCCCCCCCCCACCCCTCCCCTCTCCTCCTCCCCCTTTTTTTATCACAGGCTCGTGAGTTCTCCACTGATCTCCGTGCCTCAGTGCGGATGTTGACCAAGTAACTTCTGCGTGTCTCCTCCCCTTCTCTACACCCCGCCCCCCCCCCCCCCCCCACCCCACTCCCCCCTCCCCCCTCCCCCCTCTCCTCCTCCCCTCCTTTTGATCCCAGGCTCGTGAGTCCTCCACTGGTCTGCGTGCATCAGCCTGTGTCTCAGCCAAGACCTCAACAGCCCTTCCCTTCCTGGAGCAGGGGGGCTCCACCCTGCCCCCCACTGCTGACTCCCCATTCCCACCCTCACGAGCACAGCCCCGCCCTTCCTGGAGCAGGGGGACTCCGCCCTGCCCCTCGCTGCTGACTCCTCCCTTGTTTCCCTTTCTGCTGCTTCCTTCTTTTGTCTCACAGCCTCGTCAGTTCTCCACCGACCTGCATGCCTCAGCTCAGGTGTCAGCCAAGGCCCAAGACCAGCACGCCCCCCCCTTCCTGGAGCAGAGAAGCAACCCCTCCCTCTCCCCTTCCTCCTGATCCCCCTCCTCCCTCCCCCCTTCAGGCTCGTGAGTTCTCCACCGATCTACGTGCCTCAGCGCGGGTGTCAGCCAAGACCAGCACGGCGCCGCCCTTCCTGGAGCAGGGGGGCTCCACGCTGCCGCCCGCCGCTGACTCCCAGGCGGCCAGCGATGCCTGCGCCAAGATGCTAAGGGCGTTCCTGCCCCTCATATCGGAAGAGGTCTGTTTCGTGACTATGCGAGAGTGAGATCATAGGGATCTGCCCCCAGCCGCTGACTCCCAGGCGGCCAGCGATGCCTGCGCCAAGATGCTAAGGGCGTTCCTTCCCCTCTTTTCAGAAGAGGTGCGTTTTTTGTGACTATAACAAGGTCACTTGAAAAAGGGTGACTAAAACGAGCGTGGTTGTAGGGAATTGCTGCCCGTTGCTGACTCCCAAGCTGCTAGCGATGCCTGTGCTGATATGCTAAGGGTGTTTCTGCCACTCATATCAGAAGAGGTAGGTGTGACTATATTCCGAGCAAGAAGTTTTGAGAGTGTGAGTGTAAAGAGCTGGGGTTTGGCACCCACTGCAGACTCCTAGGCTGGCAGCGGTGCGTGTGCCAAGACTAGCTAAAGGCCTTCTTGCCGCTCATCTCAACAACGGTGTCGGGTGTATCGTTCAGAGAGTGCAAGTTTACTCATCTGCCGTCCGCTGTTGACTCCCAGGCTGCCTTCCATACCATTCCATCGATGCCTGCGCCAAGACTAGCGGCGCTCCCATGAAAGGATGCATTCCGTTGCTTATTCTCCCACTTTGCATCCCTCCCTTCGCCCCTCTCCCACCCCCCATGCTGTCCCCCCTGACGCAGGGTCCGTCCGTCCCTCAGTTCCTCTACTTCCCCCCTGCCCTAATTTTGAGGCGCCTCAAAAATGGCTTCCCCCCTGCCCTAATTTTGAGGCACCTCAAAAATGGCTTCCCCCCTGCCCTAATTTTGAGGCGCCTCAAAAATGGCTTCCCCCCTGCCCTAAGAATATCTGGGCTGCACACACTATATCAATTAACCTCTCATCTTTGCTTTGACTTGCCCTAACCCCACACCACACCCCACGGTGTTCTCCGTTCCGCCATGCAGGGTCTGTTCTTCCAGCAGTTTCTCTGCTTCGCCCCAGCAGCGGACGAGGACGAGGAGCCCTTGTGTGAGTGGCCTGTGAACCATTGTCCCTTGTGGGAGCTCTTATGTGAGTGTGTTTGAGCACGTGTTCCAGTGTTCTTTCACGTGTGTGCTTGTATAGGTGTGTACTTGTACAGGTGTGTGCTTGTACAGGTGTGCATGTATAGCAGCGTGCTTGTGTCTGCTTTCCAATGCGCTTGTATCGGTGTCCCCAATGTGTGTGGACCTGTGTGCGGATATGCCTCTGTTAACCATGTGTGCAAGCGAGTGCTTGTAATGGCCCATAATCAACCCTTCTTCCCCCCTTATAATCACCTGCAGCAGCGGACGAGGATGCAGCAGCGCTGGCAGCAGCAGCGGAGCAGCTGTTTGAGGGGATTCAGGAAGATTCGTTTTGACTTTGTATACATGAAGTCATGGACCATGGTGGAGTGGGCGTACAAGGTGGACCCCCTGGGGTGCATCGCCCTGGTGGGGCAGACAGAGACCCCACACTCACTCTCACAGCCTTTTTCAACCCACAAACACTCCCACTCCCCCCTCCTCTCCCCTCCCCTTCCTCCCCTTCCGCCCCATTCCCCCCCCCCCCCAATAATCACCTGCAGCGGACGAGGATGCAGCAGCGCTGGCAGCAGCAGCAGAGCAGCTGTTTGACGGCATTCCGGAGGACGTTGTATCCATGGTGGAGTGGGTGTACATGGTGGTCGACCCCCTGTGCTGCATCACGCTCCTACTCACATGCACTCACCTACTCACATGCTCCCTTCCCTCCCTCTCCAGCTGATGAGGATGCGGCGGCGTTGGCAGCAGCAGCAGAGCAGCTGTTCGATGGGATCCAGGAAGATTTCGTGGCCATGGTGGAGTGGGCGTACAAGGTGGACCCCCTGCGCTGCATCACACTGGTGGGGCAGACAGAGGCGTGGCAGCAGCAGCAGCAGCAGCTGCAGCTGCAGCACGGGGCCGACGCTGGGGGGTGCGGGGCAGTCATTACCAGGAAGCTTCTGCTGGAGCTGGAAACCAGAATTCGACAGAATTTCTTCCGTGTAAGTGAAGAGAGGTAGGGTTGTGGGGGGGTTGAGTATGAGTGATTTAGGGTTTCGTTGAGGGTGAGGATTCAGGGTTTGGGAGGGCGATGGTTTAGGGTTTTCGGGAGGCAGCTGTTTAGGGTTTGGGGGTGGAGTTTGCATACAAGGTGGATCCCGTGCGCTGGATCATAGTGGTGGTAGGGCAGACATACAGAGGCCTCACACTCACACAGGGGCTCCTCCCCCCCTCCCCTCACACACTCAGATGCCTTTTCTTAACCCTTCATAACCATTCCTGCTCCCCCCTCCCCTCCACCTCCCTCCTTCCCCCTTTATAATCACCTGCAGTGGATGAGGATGCAGCAGTGTTGGGAGCATGCTCTCGTACGTGCATCAATGCTCTTGTTGATCCACCCTCCCTCCCGCCCCCCTCCGCCCTGCAGTGGGTGGAGGAGGCTAACGGGCAGATTGAGCAGTATGACAGAGGTGTGAAGCAGGCAGGCGTGCTCTCATATGTGCCTCGTTTCGCTTGTTAATCCAACCTCCTTCCCTCCCCTCCTCCCCCCCGCCCCGCCACCCCGGGCCATCCCACCCACCCACCCACCTGCCCGCCCACGCACCCACCCACCCATCCACCCCCCGTCCCGTCTCCCCACAGTACGTGGAGGAGGCTAATGGGCAGATCGAGCGGTACGACAGGGGCGTGAAGCAGGCAGGCGTGCTGTCATATGTGCCCCGGTTTGCAGCGATGGCGGTGCGCATGGAGGGCCTCATTACCAACAGCTGCAGGGACCTGGTGGACCAGGCTTACAACAAGCTGGTGAGAAATAGGGAGGGGGGGGAAGGGGGGGGTGGTTTTATGGGGAGGGCCCGGAGGGGATTGGGTGGGGGGGTATGGGAGGCACGTGGCATGATGTGGGGGGGCAGAGCCTTGCAGCGATGGCAGTGCACATGGAGTTCATCACCAACAACTGCAGGGACGGTGGACCAGGCTTACAACAAGCTGGTGAGAAAAAGTTTTGAGGCGCCTCATAACTGGACCAGGCTTACAACAAGCTGGTGAGAAAAGGAGGAGGGGGGGTGGACGGGGGAGGGGGGGGGGGATGGGGGAGGAAGAGATTGAAGGAATAGGTTGTGAGGGGGTGGAGAGTATGGGGGATTGGCAGGCATGTGGCTTGGTGTGGAACCCACAGCCTTGCTTGCCGTGTTCCAGTGATGTCGGTCGGTGCGCATGAAGGGGCAGACTGCCCCCTCCCGCACCCCATCGCCCCCAGGTGAGTACCATGCTCTCTAGATTGGACCGAGGTGACTCAAAAGTCACCCCATCGCCCCCGGGTGAGTACCATGCTCTCTAGATTGGACCGAGGTGACTCAAAAGTCACCCCATCGCCCCCAGGTGAGTACCATGTTCTCTAGATTGGACCGAGGTGACTCAAAAGTCACCCCATCGCCCCCGGGTGAGTACCATGCTCTCTAGATTGGACCGAGGTGACTCAAAAGTCACCCCATCGCCCCCAGGTGAGTACCATGTTCTCTAGATTGGACCGAGGTGACTCAAAAGTCACCCCATCGCCCCCGGGTGAGTACCATGTTCTCTAGATTCGACCGAGGTGACTCAAAAGTCACCCCATCGCCCCCAGGTGAGTACCATGTTCTCTAGATTGGACCGAGGTGACTCAAAAGTCACCCCATCGCCCCGGGGTGAGTACCATGCTCTCTAGATTGGACCGAGGTGACTCAAAAGTCACCCCATCGCCCCCGGGTGAGTACCATGTTCTCTAGATTGGACCGAGGTGACTCAAAAGTCACCCCATCGCCCCCGGGTGAGTACCATGCTCTCTAGATTGGACCGAGGTGACTCAAAAGTCACCCCATCGCCCCCGGGTGAGTACCATGCTCTCTAGATTGGACCGAGGTGACTCAAAAGTCACCCCATCGCCCCCGGGTGAGTACCATGTTCTCTAGATTGGACCGCATTGCTCAGGTCGACCCCTTGCACTTCTTGTGAGAAGAGAAGTTGATGATGTTATTGAAGAAATGAGGGTATACATAGGTGTGAGGGTAAGAAGGGGGGGGGGGGGGGGTTGGTTGGGACCTTGGCCAAGATTATTGGTCCCCACCAATAATGGAGTTGGGAATTATTGGGGGGTCCAATGATCCCAACCAAGATTATTGGAGGGTCCAATAATCTTGGTAGGATTATTGGGGTCTCCAATAATTGGGAGGTCAAGCCCATTGGGGGGGCCAATAATGGCCAAGGTTGGAACCCAAACAAGGTGGGAAGCCAACCCCCAACCTAGGGTTACTACACCCTAGTAGAGATAGGTTGCTTACAATGACCTAAGCCTTATAAACGATGTAGGCTAATATAGAATAGGGGAATATTCTAACACAACCCCTTAGCCTACATAGGGCTAGAAGGCGGAGGCGCTTGAAAGAGCAACCCCTGAATTAGGTGCTCCCGCGAGAGGAGGGAGGAGCGAGGCCAGTTAGCCGGAGAAGAGTAGCATGAGCGGGCCGAGAGAGAGCTTTGGTGAAAATATCTGCAAGGTTGGCGGAGGAGTCAATCTTGCGGACGGCCAGGTGCCCGGCCTGGACAAGCTCGCGGACGAAGTAGTGGCGCAACTCGATGTGCTTGGAGCGGCCGTGGAAGACGGCTTCCTTGGTAAGGTGAATGGTGCTGGCATTGTCGCACCAAATGATGGGACAGGGCTGGGGGGCATCCAGCTCAGCGAGGAGGTAGCTAAGCCACCGTGCCTCCTGGGCCGCCATGGTGACGGCGTAAAGTTCGGCTTCGCAGGAGGAGAGAGCTATGGAGGAGGAGCGGGTGGAGCGCCATGAGATGAGACCGCTGCCAAGGGAAAAGCCATACCCTTGAGAACTGCGGCGGTCGGGTTGGGAGTCGGCCCAGGACGAGTCACTGTAGCCAATGAGCGCAGGAGGGGAGGGTCCTCCAAGGGTGAGGACATAGTCCTTGGTGCCTCGTAGGTAGCGTAGAACACGCTTGGCCGCCTGCCAATGCTCGAGAGTGTGCTTGCCAGCACCGACAAAGCGTGCCAGGACGCTGATGGGGTAGGCGAGGTCAGGACGTGTGCACATCATTGCGTACATCAAGGACCCAACGAGCTCTGCGTAGGGTTGAGTGGAGGAGGAGGGGGTGGCGGCGAGGGAGAGCTGGTGTCCGACGGGAAGCGGCGTGGAGATGGGTTTGGCTGTGGCCATCTCGAACCGCTCAAGGACCTTTTGGACGTAGAAGGCTTGAGAGAGAGAGATGGTTTTCGCCGCGCGGTCACGGGTGATCTCCATGCCGAGGTAGTTGCGGACTTCTCCCAGGTCCTTGCAGGCAAGGCGCCTCTGAAGCTCGTCCTTGACTTGCTGCATTTCAGCGTCATTGTCGGCGGCGAGTAACATATCGTCGACATAGACGAGAATGTAGAAGGGGGAGGGAGAGGTGCGGAGGAAGAGGCTGGTGGCAGCCGCGGAGGGGTGAAAACCAAGGTTTCGAAGGGTGCTGGAGAGCTTGGCGTGCCACTCCCGAGGAGCCTGCTTGAGGCCGTACACAGGGCGGCGGAGCTCCCAGGCAGTATTAGGGTCAAAGGGGAGATGCCAGCCCTTGGGGCGCTCCATGAAGATGCGTTCATGAAGCTCGCCCTGCAGCAATGCCGTAGTGACATCCATGGAGTGAAGGATCATGCCACGTCGACCGACAAAGTCGAGGAAGACGCGCACAACTGGCGGTGTCGCGGTCGGTGAGTATGTCTCGAAGAAGTCGTGACCATACCGCTGCGTAAAACCTTTAGCGCTGTTGTATGACGGAGTTGGAGGGCTGTTGTACAGGTGGACTGCTGCGCTGCTGCACGGCGGGGGTGGTGCTGCAGAAGGAGGGGCGGAGGGGGTGCTGTCAGATGGTATCTGGATGGAGGGAGGGTGAGGGGACTGAGGTCGGGAGGTGGGGGCAGGGATGGGAGGACCAAAAATGGGATCCATGGACCGTGTATGCGGGCGATGCCGAAGAACAAGAGGAGGTTGATCCTGGGCAGGAGCGGGGGCAGGAGCGGGGGCAGGAGCGGGGCCAGGGGCAGGAGGGGCAGGATAGGTGGCGGCTGGGGCGGGATCAGAGGCGGAGGTGGAAGCGGGAGTAGGGGCAAGAGGAGGGGCGGAAGCGGAGGAGGGGGAGGGAGAGGGGGGGATTACCAAATCAGAGGCGTCGTCAGATTGACCAGAGGACGGGGGAAGTGGGGGAGGGGGAGGTGGGGGGACAAGGGGGGGAGGGGGGAGAAGAGGCAGGGAGATCGTGTCGGACACAGTGAGAGGGCGAAGGGTGACAGTAAGAGGGTCACTTGTGGGGGGGGAAGAGTAGTACGGGGTGGATTCGTTGAAGACGACGTCCCGACTACGTATGAGACGACCTGAGGGGGGATGGAGGAAAAGGTAATCAGGGGAAGAAAGGTTGTGCCCAAGGAAGATGCAGGGAAGGGCCTTGGAGGCAAGCTTTCCTGCTGTGCGAGAGCGGTCGGCGGGGTGTATGAGGACATGAGCCTTTGAGCCCCAGACGCGAAGGGGAGAAATATCGGGCTTGGAGGACGTCCAAAGCTCGGTAGGGGTAGTGGAAGGACGGAGGGGGTGGGGGTAGAGGTTAGTTAGGAGGGTCGCGTGGAGGAGGGCATAGCCCCAAAGAGAGGGCGGGCACGAGGCATGGACTAGGAGACACCGAGCAGTTTTAGTGATCTCTCGAATCCGAGCCTCGGCCAAACCATTATGCTCTGGGGAGTGCGGAAGGGTATGGGTATGGCGAATGCCATGGGAAATGCAGTATGAGGAAAACTGCTGGTTTAGGAATTCGCCGCCTCCATCGGAGTGGAAGCGACGAACGGGGCGTTTAAAGTGTGTACGGGCCTGCTCTGCCCAAGCGATGATCGTAGCCGGAGCCTCGGCCTTCGTTCGAAGGAGAGAGACCGAGGTATACCGGGAGTGATCGTCGACGAGGACAAGAAGGTAGCGGTGACCCTGGCGGGTAGGGGAGGGGTTGGGTCCCCAGAGATCCATATGGACAATGTCCAGGAGCTCAGGGGCATATGAGGGGTGGCTTTTATGAGGGAGTTGTTTCAGCTTAGCCTGAACACAAATGGTGCAGGGAGGGGCAGGAGAGGGAGGGAGAGGGGGAACGGTGAGTGGAAGGCCTTTGAGAAGGCCAGTGGCAACAGTGCGTTGGAGGGTGGCAAAATTGGGATGCCCAAGGCGGTGGTGGAGGAGTAGGGCGGGATGGGAGAGATCCCGGCAGTGGCATTGGGATGGGGGGGGTGCTGGAGGAGAGGAGGGACTGGTGGGTGGGGGTTGAAGAGGAAAAAGTGTAGGGGGACCGGAGGGGGTAAGAGAGGCAGCCTGACACAGGGCGGGACGAGGAGTGCGAAGGGTGTACATACGAGAGGTAGGACATAAGGGGACACGGGTGATAAATCGACCGGAGGTGGAGTGATACAAGTCACAGTGGGAAGCGTGGCCGGGGTAGATCGTAGTCACCCCGGCACGTTGGAGGGCACCTTGGGAGACAAGGTTAGTACGAAGTGAGAGGATGTGAAAACCTGTGACGGAGCTAGAGGGAAAAAGGGGACAGGGGAGGGTGGAGGTGTGAGTGGTGGTGATGGAGAAACTGGAATCTGCCCCAAGGATGGTGGAGGGGGAGGTGAAGGGAGCAAGATGACCGGCGTCACGGAGGACCGTGGCGCTTGCTCCACTGTCAATTACGAACTCAAGGGGAGGGGAGGAGTGGGTCCGGGAATACTGGAAAGAAGCTTCATTAATAGATTCGGGATACAGAATAGTGGGATCGGGGTGAGTAACATGACCTAAGAAACCAGCAGAGGGGAAGGGAGTGAAACCGGGAGGACCAGAGGGAGTCTGGGCAGTTGTGGCCGGTATAGCACTCGAAGCGGAGGATTGCTGAGATGGGGGAGGAGGAGTCGGCTGCTGCTGCTGCTGTTGCGGCTGTTGCTGCTGCTGCTGCTGGTACTGCTGTTGGTACTGCTGCTGGTACTGCTGCTGAGACGGCTGTTGCTGCTGGGGGTACTGCTGCTGCTGTTGGGTGTACTGCTGCTGCTGCTGCGGAGGGAGAAGGGATTGAACCTGCTGGAGGACTTGGGGGGACAGGTGCTGTGCCAGGATCTGGCGAAAGGAGGGCGGCTGGTAGGCGGGAGAAGTGCGAACATCAAGAGCAGTGGGGGGCGGAGTCATGGACGACCAGCGAGGTGGGATACCAGTGTTCCCGCGGTCAAACCATTCATCCGTAAGTGCCTTGAAGCAGGTGGTTGTGGGATGAGTAGTTTGGAGGCAGCGCTGACCTTTGTTGGTGCCGTAACGAATGAGATACTGACATGGAGGGTAGTTACCGGTGCCTCGGCCGCTGCCACCGCCGCGTCCACCACTCCGCGACCTCCTCCAGAGCGCCCCGCCGTGCTGCCACCACGTCCGCCAGCACGTCCACCACGTGCCTGTGCGGCATTCACGGTTGGGGGAGACTGGCGGAGGAGTTCTGCCTCAGTCTTTAGGATCCACGTGACGACCTCGGTGGAGTCAGGCGGGTAGCGGGCATGGACTTCATCGAAGGCCACCTTGCGCGTGTCAAACATCGGCGAGAGGCCGTCGAGGAGACGGCACACAAGGAGGGAATCGGGAAGAGCTGAGCCGCGAGCAGCGAGGCGGCTGGCAGTGGAGGTGAGGCGCCGGGTGAAAGCAAGCGCGTTGGGGCAGCTATCGAGTGTGATCTCGAGGAATGCACGATGGAGTGCGAGGAGGGAGTTTGTGTCCTGCAGGTCATAGGTGGCACAAAGCTCCTTCCAGAAAGAGGCAGAGGAGGAGGGATTGATCTCGCGTTTAAGGGAGGAAGGGACGCAAGCAATGAGGATGGAGAGGCATTTGCGGTCAGCTTGAACCCAAGCAGCATAGCGAGTGCGAAACTCACGAGAGTCTGCGGCATGCTGAGCAACGTCTTCGTCATACTTGGAGATGAGGGCTTTGGCCTCGTCGTGGGCGTTCTGCTTCTCGGAGTAGGTGTGTTGGAGAAGAGTGTAGTCGGCGAAGTCTTTGTCGTACTTAGTGCAGAGGTGAGCCCAGCGGTCAGGATCAGTGTTGTACTCGGGGTGAGTGGGCTTGATGGGCTCAGGTCCTGAGGGGGGATCAGGGGGGGGGGAAGGGCGGGGGCCAAGCTTGGCAGGGGGGGAGGGGGGCTTTCCTGCCTCAGTGTCCTCGAGGATGTCGAGGAGGCAGAAGTCGTTAATGATGGTGGAGCCGAGAACTGTGGTGATGCTTTGCGCGAACGAGTTCCAATTGATAGGAACCACGCCATCGGCGAGTTCAAGTGCATCGATGGTGCTGATGTCAACCGCGAGCGAGTCCGTTGCCATGGCGGGTGGGAATCAGCTACGTGCAGCCAGCTACCAGCGACCAGGGACCGGCTTCCAGCGACGTGGGGGGAGGGGGAGGAGGAGAGAGGAAGGAGAAAAGGACGGGTGCGACGCGCAGCCTTGGAATCCTTCCACGAAAGGGTCGTCGAGCGGCACGGATGGCGAGATTGCGTCGCGTGGTAGTGCGTGCTGCGCGCGACGAGCGGTGACGACGGGAGGGTCGCGAAATGCGGCGACGAGCAACCGCGAAATGGAGTGACGAAAAGGCCGATAAATGCGGCGACGAGAGGGCCGCGAAATGCGGCGACGGGAGGGCCGCGAAGTGCGGCGACGGGAGGGCCGCGAAGTGCCGCGACAAGCGGTCGCGACAAGCGGCGACGAGAGAGCCACGAAATGCGGCGACGGGAGAGCCGCGAAATGCGGCGACGGGAGAGCCGCGAAATGCAGCGACGAACGGTCGCGACGAGCGACAACGGGAGAGCAGCGAAATGTGGCGACAAACGGTCGCAACGGGCGGCGACGGGAGAGCCGCGAAGTGCGGAGATGAACGGTCGCGACGAGCGACGACGGGAGAGCCACGAAATGCGGCAGCGGCGCGGAAATGCGCACGGAGAGGGCACGGGGTGCGCTAGGGGGGGGCAGCGCGGAATGCGCGGGAGCAAGGCGCAGAGTGCGCGGAGGGAGGGCGTGGGAAGGAACACGCTTTCAGGATCGTTCTAGGAGGTGGCGTGAGCCATAGGCTCTGATACCATGTGAGAAGAGAAGTTGATGATGTTATTGAAGAAATGAGGGTATACATAGGTGTGAGGGTAAGAAGGGGGGGGGGGGGGGGGGGTTGGTTGGGACCTTGGCCAAGATTATTTGTCCCCACCAATAATGGAGTTGGGAATTATTGGGGGGTCCAATGATCCCAACCAAGATTATTGGAGGGTCCAATAATCTTGGTAGGATTATTGGGGTCTCCAATAATTGGGAGGTCAAGCCCATTGGGGGGGCCAATAATGGCCAAGGTTGGAACCCAAACAAGGTGGGAAGCCAACCCCCAACCTAGGGTTACTACACCCTAGTAGAGATAGGTTGCTTACAATGACCTAAGCCTTATAAACGATGTAGGCTAATATAGAATAGGGGAATATTCTAACACTTCTCTCTCTGTTGCTCTTCGCCCCCACTCTCTCCCCCCACATTCCCACTCCCCCCCCCTCCATCGCCCCTCCCCCCTCTCCCCTTTCCCCCCCCTCCCAATTGCCCCCAGGTGAGCACCATGTTCTCGACGCTGGACCGCATAGCGCAGATCGACCCCAAGCACTGCGACGTGCTGCTGCTGGAGAACCACGCGGCCTTCCAGAACAGGTAGGGGCGGCATGCCTGAGAACAGGCAGGATTTGATTCGTAAAGACACACCTCGAAACTCAACACACAAGGCACTGCGACGTGCTGCTGCTGGAGAACCACGCGGCCTTCCAGAACAGGTGGCAGAGGCATTCTGTTATTGGTTGGTTTTGACACACCTCAAAACGGGTGGGAGCGAAAGGCCGAACCTAGAGCACTACTGGGGAAATCAGACACATCAAGGGTTGGTTTTCACACGCCTCAAAACTCAAGCCCAAGCACTGCGACGCGCTGCTGCTGAAGACCCATCGCCCTCCCAAAACGTGAGAAGTAACAGGCAGAAATGATTTTTTTCACTTTTGGCAATGCGTAACTTGCAAATGTGCTCTCATTGTCGTTCTTTACAGCCTCAGTTCGCACACTCTCTCACATCCAAACTACTTCGCTCTCGCACCTGGCCATATGCACACTTCTCACACTCACTTTTATGCCCTTTCTCTCCTCTCTTTCCGTTTTTGGTTTCTCTCTCAAACCCTCCTTTGCTCTCCGCCTGCTGCTGTCCCTCCCTTCGACCCCTCAGACCTGAATGGCACCATCCCACCCACTCTCCGTCTATTCTACCTGCAGTCTAACGAGACGTACAAGACTGCATGTGCACACACTCTCTCTCACACTCTCCACTCTCACACACTGAGTCCCCTGTCCCTCCCTCTCCCTCCCCCCCCCAACAGCACGTACGACCTGGCAGGCACCATCCCCACTCTTCGCCTGTTCTACCAGCAGTCCAGCAAGGCCAACGAGACTGCTCTGCTGCACGCTCTCTCTCGTTCACTCCCCAATACTCTCTGACCCCTGTCCCTCTCTCCCTCCCCCCATCCTCACAGCACCTACAACCTGGCGGGCACCATCCCCACTCTGCGCCTGCTCTACAAGCAGTGCAGTGAGACATACGAGACTGCACAGTTTCTCACTCTCTATCTCACATGGGTGTTTCTTCTCTCCCCAACCCCCCCACAGCACGTACGATCTCGCGGGCACTATTCCGACTCTGCGCCTCTTCTACCAGCAGTCCAGCGAGACATACGAGACGGCTTGCACGCGCTACATCGACTCGGTCATCTTCGGGGTGAGCTTTCTTTCCTCAGGCCCCTATGAAGTGGGAGGGGGAAGGGGGGGGTGGGGATGGGCGAGAGCAGGAGGGAACGGGGTGGTGAGGAGGGGGGGAAGAGCAGGGTTGGTTTGAGAGACTACCTGCACGTTCTACATTGACTCGGTCATCTTCGGGGTGAGCATTCTTTACGCAGGAGGGGAGAAGACGGGGGGGAAGGGGGAGGGCGTTTGAGAGACTGCCTGCATGGCGTGCAGGGCACGCGCGCGCGACATCGAATCAGTCATCTTCAGGGTGACCGTTCTTTACTCAGGCTGCGAGGGGGGGGGGGGGGGGCGGGGTTGGGGGAGGGACTTTGAGAGATGGCTTGCACGCGCTACATCGACTCGGTCATCTTTGGGGTGAGCTCTCTTTCCCAGGCCCCTGTGTGGTTTTTTTTGTAATTCCAGGAGGGGGGGGTGGGGGTGGGTGGGGGGGCAGGGGAAAAGGGGGGAGGAATGGGGGGCAGGGGAAAGGGGGAGGAATGGGGGGGCAGGGGAAAAGGGGGGAGGAATGGGGGGGCAGGGAGAGGAGGGGGTGATTTGAGAGGCTGCGTGCACGCGCTGCATCGGCTCGGTCATCTTTTCGCCTTCACACCCTCATTTCCCTCTTCCCTTCCTCCCTGATTTGATTTTCCCTCCTGTTTTGTGACATCTGAAAAACAAACCTGCCTCCCAACTTTCCCCGCTCTCTCCCCGCCTCCCCCCCCCACCCCGACTCTTTATCTCGTCACTTCCAACGCCCGCCAACGTGTTTTTTTTCCAGAATTTCGACAAGTTGTTCGACTACCTTCAGAAGATCAAGAATCTGCTGCTGACCATTGAAACAGAGGAGGTATGCGATGCCTTTAATCATGCCTTTAATCATGCCTTTAATCCCTGTTCCCTCCCTGTACTCATGGTTTCATCTTCCAACAACTATCTCCGTATGCCCCTGGTTTTATCGCTCTGGTGTCATCTCCGGCTAGCACCATCTGTACTGCGTACGGCTTTGGAGTCATCTCCTCCAGTGCCACCATGTTGTGTGTGTGCTTCGGAGTCCATTCCCAATCTCCCAATCCCCCTTCCTCTGTGTGTTTCAGATTCCGTTCCAAATCGGGTTCAGCAAGGCAGACCTCCGGAAAGTGCTCAAGTCGCAACTCACAGGGGTAAGCGCTGCCTCTGTTCATGCTACAGCTGCTACAGCTGCTGCAACTGCAAATGACCAGATCCATCCCTGTCCCCCTCCCCCCCTCCCCTCCCTTCACCTCTACCCCCTCCCCGCTTTCCTTCCCACCATCCCCAAACTTCATGTTACCATTCCGTCTTGCCTCTATGATCCTAGTGATCGAATTCTCCTCTTTGATGTGGTTGCTCTGCGATTCTCTCTTCCACATTCAGCAGTAGTGTGTGTGCTGTGCTGAGGCGCCTCAAACCTCCTCCTTTGAAATTAATCACAGGTGGATCACTCTCTCAGCTCCATGTTCAACAAAACGAAGAAGAACGGCACCTCAGGCGACCTCCTTTCCCCTTTTCCCTTGTGTGTTGCCTTTCCCCTTTCCCCTTGGGTGTTGCCTTTCCCCTTTCCCCTTGGGTGTTGCCTTTCCCCTTCTAATCCATCGCAGGTGGATCGCTCGCTCAACTCCATGTTCAACAAGATGAGGAAGAACCTCACCTCAGGCGACCTCCTTCCCTCTCTCTGGCTCAAGTGCCAGGTGAGTGCATGATCCCCAGCAAGTTTGCTTCTTGGTGTTATCGTAGGGAAGCAAACGACTTGTGCATTGCGTGCACTTTACGTGGTCACAATGTGGTTAAGACGTGGTTCGATAAGATGGTTGCGAGCTCCTAGATGTTATGGCTTTCTGCTGTCAGATTGACTGCTGTGTTTCAAAAAACCTACAGTAATTCCACATCCTATTTCCGGCAGTTTTATGCTCTCGACATGACTCTCAATGTTTTTATTGTTCTTTGGATGGGATGGGAACCTGTGTGGTCAGGAGAGCTTCATGGAGCGGTATGAAGAGCTGGAGGCAGTGGTGGCCAAGTGCTATGCGAATGAAGCCATCAGCCCATCTTCTCGGGAAATGCGTGATGCCTTCAATTCCATTGTTGCTTGAAAGTAGTATTGTACAGCCGTTTGTTACTACTAGCTAGTTTCCTCACGTTTAGTCCCAACCTCTTGGCTTTTGTGATGGGTGTTATATGAACAGAATACTGCTGGTTAAATTACTATTATATAATAACAGGCCATGTGCCGATAGTGAGCGGGGCGTGCGCTCACTACAGTACACCTGGCCCGCTGTATTTTCACCCCTACTATTTTCACCCGCGGCTTTGCCGAAGGGTTGTCAGGGCGTGTCACTAAAGTGCGTCCCACTGCGGTTCACAAAGATATTTTGCGTTCTGGAACGGTCAAATAAGCATTTAGAGCGGTCTAGTATGGTATTTTGCCAAAACGATTTTTAGCGACACGCCCTCACCCTCCAATACCATGACCAAAGGGGCGAGTTTCGCAGCCCCTAGAAAAGACAGTTGGTTTGGGTTTCTAGACGACCCATGTTTACAGCCCGACGTCTCCATTCTCTGACTGTGATGCATCGCGCTGGACGGTGTTCTCGTGGTTGTTATTAGTCTAAGTTTCGGACCCGTCGTTCTGTGTGGAGACTGCGAGCCTCTCGCTCGAGCCCATCGTGAACACGGGAATGCCCAAAGCGGACCCAGAACTGGTCAGGGTAGAGTCGAAATTTTTACTGCCGCCCACTTTTACGCCGTGTAATTACTGTAGAGCGGGCCAGGTGTAGCACCCCAGCACGCTCCGCCCACTACGCGCCACCGAACCGAAGTCAACCTGCCAGGTTGATCAGCAGCGTGGGTCAATAGTGACGAAATTGCCAGCTGGTTCCTGGGGTGATGTGTGAAAGGTCTTGTCTTACTTGCAGCCAATCAGTGCATTCATGCCTCTTGGCTAACTCTCGCAACGCTGTGCGAAGAATGACGAAAGGTCGTCGCACAATGCCATAAGAAAGAGCACACATCGTTCAGCGACAACGGTCAGGGTGAACGCAGAGGGAGGACTGAAGGTGTGCGAAACTGCTAACGAAATATTTCATGAACGGTGGGAGTTCAAATCATCCCTTCCTGTAACCCTGACAAGTCTTCGCTTAATCCTTCGTTGACAAGCTTCTGACGGAAGGCTGGTTTGGCTTCCTTCGAGTGTGGCGCCGTGGGTTTGCGATCCTTCGCGAAGACTTTGCGAACTCACCAACCCCCCAAACCCATCTTCTCGCGGGGTGTGGCGGACGGCAGACAAAACCAACTTTCCGCAAAGCAGGCTGGATTGGCCATGGCGGACCTGCCAACTAGGCTGGAGACGTAACAAGAGATGGAAAGACAAGGGAAGCGGATACTGAAACATGACAAACCAAGTCCTAGAAAGCGACAGACACTAGTCTGTCAAAGCACTGCCAGTGCTGCTGCTCTCGCCGTCCGTTTCCTTGCTATCCCCAATTTGTTTCTTCACTTAGTCAATAGACGGTGCTGCACCGCCTGCATTCTTTACTCCTGCTGCTGGCTCGCTGTTTCCTCCAACGTCCAGTTGAGCCCTTCCCCCCACCGACCGCCCTTCGAATAGTGAAAGCTAATTGGTCAATGTGTGTCATCAGCAGCGACTCCAGCCGCGGCGGGACCGGCGTGGCATAAGTTATACAGACTCGGATTGAATAGTTGGTGTGACAGTTGGTGTGATAGTAATTTCGTTCTGAGTCGACTCGGATTGGAAGGTTTGGGCTAGAGACATGGCGAGGGTTAAGCGTCGCTTTTAGCCACGTCGCCTCGTGATCCTTTCAGGGTTGATCCGCCATCGTTGTCAGCTACCGTAGCGCGCCGCCGTGGTAGGTGACTTGAGTCGACTCAAACGTCGTCTTATTCCTTCCAAGCAAAAGTCTAGGAGTCGAAAGACTCGCCTTTTTCTCGACTGTCACCTCGCATGTGTGACGCCGTCGGAAGCAGCTTCGCAGCTTCCTGCAGGCCCTCACTCCTAGCCAGCTGACCTGGTTACCGTCCAATCCCTAATTTCGTTCGGCATCCTCATGTCATGCGAAATGAGGGTCATTAGGTCATGTGTGACGTGTTTCAGAAAACTTCCTCGTCAATGCTTACGACGCGCGGATAGTCACACTTTTTAGACAGTCATCACTCGTTGTAGTTCTCTCTCGCTATAGTCACCACCTCTGGCCTGCTGCGCGCGCCATGGCGGCGTCAGGACCGGCGCTGACGGCGGTGAGCGAGGACGACGAGAACCGTCTATTCTACGACGACCCCGATCTCGCCGTCGACGATTACATCCCCAAAGACCGCCATGGTAAGTCGGGAAGGTCCGTTCAGAGACCTGGTATTTTTTTGAATTCTCAAAAATACTCAGAGGCCGCCATGGTAAGTCGGGAAGGTCGAAGGTCCGTTCAGAGAGAGCGCCACGGTAAAGACCGAAATGCCAGTTCAGGGACCGTCAGGGTGAGATGGGCAGCTAGCGAGTGGACTCAATAGCGAGGACACGACGGGACCCCCGATCTCGCCGTCGATGGTTGTGTTCCGAGCGACCGTCACGGTACGACGGGACGGTCCATCAAGTCCGTCACGGAACACGAACGCTGGCGTTGGTGAGGGAGGGCGACAAGAACCCTCCATTCCACGATGGCCCGACCAGGTAAGGCGGGAGAGGTCCTAACGGTCACAACAGGCGTTCGCGTTTTGCCATTGCGAAGCCAAGCTCTTAGGTCTCCGTTCCGTCTGTTTCGTCGTCGTCTCTGCCAGTTTCCGTTCCTTACAGTTTCGTCCTCGCCGTCAGTGTCCTTTTCCGTCAAGTTTCCGTTTCCGTCAGTTCCGTCGCCGTCTGGAACCCTCCCCCCCCTTACGCACATTATCGTTTCCCGCCAACATAGGGTTTCCAAAATCTCCTCTATTGCAGATAAGAGATACGTTTCGGCTGCAAGAGGAGTCTATTTTTGAGGCGCCTCAAAAATAGACTCCTCACGCATGGATTTTAAGGCGCCTCGCAGATTGGGTTTCCAAAATCTCCTCTATCGCTGGTAAGACATACGTTTCGCCTGCAAAGCACCGCACATTCCCCCCTGAAACAAACCCTAACCAGAAATGGAGCTGATGCGAGCGCGTCTGCCGAAGGTGCTGCGGGAAAACTGACCCCATGCTCTCTCCGCTTCCCCCTTTTCCCCCATTCTCCCCCCCCCCCCTCTCCCCCCCTACCAGACATGGCGGGAGTGCCTAACCAAGCTGCCGCTGTTAGACGACCCCTCGGGAGGCGCCAAGGGGCGCGGGCCTGCTCTCCCTTTCTCCTTACACCCCCACCCCCAGCCCTTCCCTTCCCCCCCGCCCCTCCCTTCACCCCCCTCTCTCCCCACCAGACATGGAGCTCATGCGCGAGCGGCTGTCCAAGCTGCTGCTGGGGGACGACCTCTCGGGTGGCGCCAAGGGGCGTGGGCCTGCTCTCCCTTCACACCACCCTCCCTCACTCCCCTCCACTCCTTCCCACTCCCCCCATTCCGCCCCTCCTTCACATCTGCTCGTCATTCCTCCTTAACCCCCCCCCCCCCCCCCCCCCCCCCCCTTCCTTCCCGCCCCTCCCTTCACCCCCCTCTCTCCCACCAGACATGGAGGTGATGCGGGAGCGGCTACCCAAGCTGCTGCTGGGGGACGACCCCTCGGTAGGCGCTAAGGGGTGATCTTTCTAACCCCCTCATCTCACCCATTCGCACCCACTCCCCCCATTCCGCGTTCCCCCCATTCCCGTTTCCCCATTCCGCGTTCCCCCCATTCCGCGTTCCCCCCATTCCCGTTTCTCTCTCTCCCTACCCGACTTGGAGGTGATGCGGGAGCGTCTGTCGAAGCTGCTGTTGGAGGACGACCCCTCGGGTCGGGAGGCGCCACGGGGCGCGGGCCTGCCCCCCTCAAACCCCTCTTCCCCTTTCCCAATGCCCCCATTTTTCGTCCCCCCTTGAAGTAACCCAACCCAACCCAACCCAACCCAACCCAACCCAACCGTAACCAGACATGGAGCTCATGAGTCATGAGGGAGCGTCTTTCATAGCTGCTGCTGGCTGGGGGACGACGACGACCCCTCGGGAGGCGCCAAGGGGTGCGGGCATGCCCTCCGTTTCCCTCCCGCCCCTCCGTTTACCCCCCCGCCCCTCCTCCACCCCCCTCCTCACCCACCAGACATGGAGCTAATGCGGGAGCGGCTGTCCAAGCTGCTGCTGGGAGACGACCCCTCGGGAGGCGCCAAGGGGTGCGGGCCTGCTCTGGCCATGGCCAACGCCATCACCAGCGTCTCAGGTGGGTAGGGTGGAGTGGAGTGGAGGTGGTCTCAGGTAAGAAAGTCCCAGCCCAGGTATATCTGCCAAACCGAGGTGGTTTCAAGGCCCTAAGGGGTGCGGGCCGGCTCTGGCCATGGGTAGCGCCATCACCAGCGTCTCAGGTGGGCAGGGTGGAGGTAGTCTCAGGTGGAACTGAAGTTATGAGTGGACGCAGCGTCTGTGCCAAAAGCAGCTTTACATTCGACTCAATTGGAAGTTATGCGTGGACGCATCTTCTGTGTTGAAAGCAGCTTGCAGCTTGCAGGTGTGCCATTCCCTGAAATCAACTCCCAATTACCCCCACTCTTCCCCCCTCCCCGCCACTCCCCCTCCCTCCCCTTCTTCTCCCCCCACCCTGCGCTCCCCCCCTTCCCCCCTCCTCCCCACGACCCTCCCGCCTGACAAGATCAAGATTTGCTACGCCATGAGCCGCCTCAAGCACTCTTTATGTTGTGTATTCTCTCTTTCTCCCTTTGTCGATCCCAACGTCTGTGTTCCGCAACAGCTTGCAGCTGCGGCCACTGAGGGAGGAGGACAAGGTGAAGCTCCCTTCTGAGGCGCTTCAAACCACTCTCTCGATCTCTCTCAATCTCTCTCGATCTCGATCGCTCTCCCTCTGCGTGATCCCAGCGTCTGTGTTCGGCGACAGCTTGCGGCTGCGGCCACTGATGGAGGAGGACAAGAGCAAGTGGCGGAGAGAGATGGGCATCATGGTGTCGGTGTGTCGGCACATCGTTGAGCTGGCTCCTGGCTGGCAGACACGTCCTGATGGGACAAGATTCGAGGTGAGTAGTGGGGCAGGGAATGTGCTAGTCGGCATGTAGGGAGGGTGGTGGGTAGAGTCGATGCAAGGTGGGCATCTCATGGTGTCGGTGTGTCGCCACATTGTGGAGCTGGCTCCTGGCTGGCAGACGCGTCCTGATGGGACAAGATTCGAGGTGAGTGGTCAGGCCTTTGAGTTGGAGAGTAGCAGCAGGGAGAGTGGGGAGGAGAAGGCGCGAGATGGGCATCAAACTAGCTCGTCTTACTTCTCCGTCCTCCCCCCCCAACCTCCACTCTCCCCCCACCTACACCTGCCGCGCCCCCCCCTCTCCGTCCCCCTTCCGCCAGGTGATGAAGCGGCGAGTGAGGGAGGACCTTCGGATCAACCTGCCAGCACTGAACAAGCTGGACAACCTGCTGCAGGTGAGCGTGGGTGGTGGATGTGGTTTGGGGGGGGGAGGGGGAAGAGGGGGGAGAGGAAGAAGGGGGGAAGGAAGAGGGGGGGGGGTATGTGTGTGTGTGTGTGAGAGGTGCGACTCAGAATACGCACGAGTAAGGGAGGACCTTCGAATCGATCTGCCAGCGCTCAACAAGCTGGACAGCCTGCTGCAGGTGAGCGTGGGGGGTGCGTGTGTGGGGGGGGTTGTGAGGGAGCTTGCGTGTGTGGGGGGATTGTGAGGGGTGGGGGGGGTGTGTGGGGGGGAGGGGTGTTGCGGGGTTTTTGTTTGCGCGCGTGCGTGCATGTGAGAGCGGGAGTGAGAGGGAGTGAGTGGGAGTGAGTGGGAGTGAGTGGGAGTGAGGGGGTGTGAGTGGGAGTGAGGGGGAGTGAGTGGGAGTGAGGGGGAGTGAGGGGGAGTGAGTGGGAGTGAGTGGGAGTGAGCTAGCCAATGGCCGCGTCCCGCCTCTCCCACCCCTCTCCTCCGCCACTCTCTCCCTTTGCTCTTCTTCCCCCCTACCAGCCAGAGCATTTAAGAGCAGAGCACGTCAACAGAGTACAATTATGAGGCTGAGGTGTTGGGTGGGAGGGCTGGAGCCGAGAACAGCAAAACAACTCTTTCCTCCTACCCCTCCTCTCGTCCCCCCCTTACCCCCACCACCGGCCCCCTTTCAACCCTCTCTCTCCCTCGGCCCCCCATCTGAGCATACCAGAGCAGAGCACGTCAACAGAGTGGTGGTGGCGAGAGCAGGGGCCCAGGGAAGAACGTATCTTCATCCCCCCTCCCCTCCCACTTCCCTCGCTCCCTTTGCTGTTCCTCCCCCGCACCAGAGCATTCTAGAGCAGAGCACGTCAACGGAGTATTACTATGAAGATGAGGTGGTGGGAGGGCAGGAGCCGAGGGAGGAAGACGAGGAGGAAGAGGAGGAGGAGAGGGAGGAGGATGATGGTGACGTGGAAGTTGATGATGACGACATGGATCATGATATTGTCGATCAGGATTTCGATCTGAATGCTGACGTGGCAGGAGGGTCAGAAGAGGAAGGCTTGGGGTCGGAAGGGGGGGGGATAGGGCCTGAAGGCGGCTTGGGGTCCGAGGGGGGATCAGCAGGAGGCGGCAAAGCCAGAAAGGCCAGTTCTCTAGAAGGAGGGGGGAGAAGGGGAGGGAGTGGGTTTAGCGGAGGGAGTGCAAGCAGCGGGAGCGGGGAGCAGAGGGAGGTTGACTTTCCCTGTGGCCCCGACCCTGCTCAGCTGCCCCTGCAGCAGGAGCAGCAGGGGGAGCAGGGGGAGCAGGGGGAGCAGGGGGGGCAGCAGGGGCAGAAGAATGAGCAGAAGCAGGAGCACAAGGAGCAGCAGCACGGGCAGCAGGAGGAACAGCAGGAGGAGCATGAAGAAATGGAGCAGCACTTGAGAAGGAGCATCACGGCCCCAACGGAGAGACGGGAGTGCGGAGATTTTGCTGAGGTGGACAGGGAGTATGCGGCTAGGCTGCGAGGCAGAGGGGGAGGGGGAGGAAGTGGGAGGGAGGGAGCAGGGGGGAGCGGGCGGTTGCGTGCCTCTGCTTCTGTTAGTCATGCTCCCTATGCTCCGTCTAGTGCCACTGCTGCTGCTGCTGCTGCTGCTCCTGCCTCTTCGGATGCTGCTACTGCTACTGATGCGGGTACCGAAGCTGGTGCTGCCAAGGCTGCTGCTCCTGCTGCTATTGATGCTGCTGCTCCTGCTGCTGCTGATGCTGCCGATGCTGCTGATGCTGCCGCTGCTACTGCCGACGCTAGCAGTGGCAAGGACACAGATTCAACCCACGACGCCGCTGGCACCACTGCTGCTGATCCTGCTGGTTCTGATGCCCTCGGCTCTACCCTACCACTACCAAGGTCGGGATCAGGTTCGGGATCAGGTTTGGGATCAGGTTCGGGATCAGGGTCAGGATCAGGGTCGGGATCAGGGTCGGGATCAGGATCGGGATCAGGTTCGGGATCAGGGCCATTACAGCAGGAGAAAGGGGGGCAGGAGGGGGAGCAGAAGAAGGGGGAGGGCCGGCAGGCACAGCAGCAGGAGAGCGGAGGGGAGGGGGCGAACTCTGGTGGCTCTAGCCCCTCTATAAGCACCTCCTGGGGCTTCGCCCGCTCCTACACCACCTCGTCTACAGTCACGTCCGTTACTGCCACCTCAGGAAACAATAACAGTAGTAATAATAACAACAACAATGCTAGCAGCAGCGGTGGTGGTAATGGTGGCGGTGGCAGCAGCGGTGGTGTGAAGGAGTTGATTAGGAGGAGAACGACAGGCAGAACAGGTAGCTACGACCTGGGGGCGTTTGTGAGAGGGCGGTCGAAGGAAACAGCAGCAGCGAAGGCAGATAGTGAGTGCGTTTGCAGCAGTGGCAGCGGTGGGGGGGGGGGAGCGCAGCACAGTCGCAAGGAGCATCTGTCACAGGAGCAGCAGGAGGAGGAGGAGCAGGAGGGGGGGTGGCGTGGCGGTGGAAGGTGAAGCCGCGGATGAGGGTGGAGCTGTCAGAGGAGCTGCGGCGGTGGCTGGAGCAGCAGGCGGACAAGACGAGCCAGATCATGAAGGCATGCATGTTCATCAACCAGCAGGTGCTGGCCGACATGGACGTGCCCGATGCCTTCCTGCAACGCCTGCCCAAGGTACGGTTGAGAGTGGTAGAGGCACACCCTGCCGGTAGATGCTGCAGCATTGACTGTGGAACAGCAGGCAGGCAGGCAAGGCGTCCCAGGTCATGTAGGCGAACAAGGCGTCGCACATCATGTAGGCGTGCATGTGCATCAACCAGCAAGTGCATGAAGACATGGACGTGCCAGACGCGTTTCTCCAGAGACTGCCCAAGGTGCGTTCCAATACTGAGGCACTGCACACATGCACGCACCCCATGGCTTTCAGCACAGCGTGCCATGACCTCTCACCCTCTCATTGTCCCCTCCTCATTGCCAAACCTCATTCCCCCCGCCCTTCCTCCCCCACCATTCCCTCTCCTTCCCCCTATTCACACAGGGCCTGAGGACAAAAATAGACTGTTCACACAGGGCCTGAGGACAATACTGAGCCACAGGGTGTACAACTTTCTTTTCTCTTACTCCCCCTCCCCCCCCTCTCCCCCTCCCTCTCCCCCTCCCTCTCCCCCTCCCTCTCCCCCTCCCTCTCCCCCTCCCTCTCCCCCTCCCCCTCCCCTCCCCCCCCTCTCCCCCCCCTCTCCCCCTCCCTCTCCCCCCTCGAAATCCCCACCCCCTAATCTGCACAGAGCCTGAGGACAATACTGAGCGACAGGGTGTACAATCTGCTGCTCTCAACGCCTTATAGCGAGGATAAAGTGCTCAGTGCGATCGATATGAGCAATCAACGGGCAGCACTGAAGCTAGCTTGCAAGCTGGAGGCAGCGCAGCAGATATGGATAAGACAACTGCAAGCAGCCAGGTAGGCAGTGGTTGAGTGCGGTGCAATGTGGTCCAGTGCGATGACATCATCGCTTTAAAAGGGCAGCACTCAAGCTAGCTTGCAAGCTGGAGGCAGCACAGCAGATATGGATACAACAGCTCCAGGCAGCCAGGTATGGTCTATTGAGTGAGTTGCGGGGTGTAGTGCGGCATGGTGTTGTGGCATTCAACAGCTTCAACAGTAAACCATAAAATCGAAATCGTGCCCCACTTTCCTTCGCCACACCTTCGCCCGAACTGCAGGGAGCCGTACCTGACCCACACACTGGGCGGCAGTTATTTGTCCACTAGCAGCCGGGAGATCATGCGCCTAGAGGAGAATCTAGAGCGGGTGGCATCCTGCCTTGCTGCCATCCGCCGGATGTGGCCCGACCTACCGCAGACGACCCTCGATCTCGCAAAGATTGCTTTCAATAGGGTGAGTGAGGGTTGGGTCCTGTGGCGTCTTGCCTTGCTGCCATCCCGCAGTTGTGTGCCCGGACCTACCCCAAACGACCCTTGATCTTGCTATACTTGCTTTCAATAAGGTGTTTGAGGGCTGGTTTCTGTGGCGTCTTGCCTTGCTGCCATCCCGCGATTGTGGCCCGACCTCCCGCAGACTACCTTGGCTTGGACCTTGCGAAGATGGTATTCAACAGGGGGAGGGAAACAACAGGGCGAGTTTTTTTGTCACTCGTACCAGGGGAAGAGAAGCTTTGCCGGTGTTTCACATCAGCGCTTCATCTTGTGCCCTCCTCAGCCTTCCTACCCTCCCTCCGTTGTCTTCGCTCCATTTGTCGTGGCCTCTGTTTTCTCACCAGCAGGACATCAGTAAAGCAGTCCTGGAAAGCCACTCTCGTGTCCTTGAGGGAGCAGCGGCGTCCAACATCCGCGCTCGCCCGCGCAACGTGCTCCATGCGGACCATCTCTTCCGGAACCCCACCTCTTCCCGCTTCACGACACCCCCTGTGACCCTCCAGACACTGCGCCTCGTCTCTGACTCCCATTCCCTGTCCCTCTCCCCCTTCATTCTTCCCCCCTGTCATTCCCTTCTCCTGCCTTTGCCCGTCTATTTCCCTCAGGATATCGGCAAAGCAGTACTAGAGAGCTACTCTCGGGTGCTTGAGGGAGCGGCGTCCAACATCCGTGCCCGTCTGCGGGACGTGCTCCATGCAGACCATCTATTCCAGAACCCCCAGCTCTTCCCCCTCCACGACCCGCCCTGCGAGCCGCGCCCGCAGCACCTGCGCCACCCCACCTTCTCCCTCCTCATGCCCGACACCGTCTTTGACGCGGTTTCTGTGTCCGGGGGTAGTGAATCTTCAGCGAGTATTCGCAGCTTTGAGTCCAGCAGGAGCGGGAGCAGCGGGAAGGGCGTGCGGCATTTCCGGGGGGCGAGTTTGGCATCGGATTCAGGGGCTGGTAGTCCCGGTGGGGGGGCAGGTGGAGGGAACGGAGGGTCAGGTGGAAAGTCAGGTGGTGGGAGATGGGACACCAAGCCGCCCAGGAGCCCCGAGTTGCGGAATTCGTCTGGTATGAGCCGACTGGGAGTGAGCGGGGGAGGAGGGGGGGGGTCGATGGGAGGGGGAGGAGGGAGCGGGAGCGGGAGCGGGAATGGTGGAGGGTCGAGTTTCCGGGATCGGTTTCGAAGTGCCACCCTTGCAGCCCCCACGACTAGCTCCGCCGCTGCCAGTGCTGCTGCTGCTGGGTCCGGGGGGATGGGATCCCAGTCAATGCCGGGAAACGAACCTAAGCAGCAGCAGCAGCAGCCGTACCTGCGGCGAACGGGGTCGTTTCAGCCGAGCACGCAGATTCGAGGCGGGATGATGCGGACGGTGCGGCGGAGCCAGAGCGGGGGGTTAGAAGAGGAGGTGATGCGGTTGAAACAGGAAGGGGGGGATGCTCCAGGGTGTGAATCGCCGGTCCTCACGAGAACCCCGGGGTTTGTTCTAGTGTCCGCAGCGCAAGGTGGCGGTGGGGGGTATTTGTCGGCTCTGCCGCCACAGCCGCCGTCCCGAACCCGTTCAGCTAGTGGTGACTGGACATGACATGACATGACATGCCTTGCCATGACATGCCATGACAGGGACATGACATGCCATGACAGGGACATGACATGCCATGACAGGGACATGACATGCCATGACAGGGACATCACATGCCATGACAGGGACATCACATGCCATGACAGGGACATGACATGAACATGACAAGAGTCACATGAGAACCAGCCAGGCTGGTGGCGATTTGCCCTGTTAACCAGCCGAGAGATGCTCACATTTACTACAAAAGCAGTAGGTGAGCTGGATGGGTTTGTGCTTTGTCTTTAGAGAAGGCTTGTGAGGTTAGGGAGGGAGGTGGTGGTGCATCACTTCCAAAATTGTAACAAAATATTGTTATCCAACTGTGTACGGTACTACGGACGGCACGAACATGCCCAGTGCCCAGTGCCAATTCATCGCTCTCAGTTTATCTATCGCCCTCTGGTTCTCGCCTAGCTTGTTTTGTCACATCACAAAGGAACACCACACGATTATTCTGTGGCACACTGTTCTTCTCAGAGTAACCGAATGACTAGAATGAAGGCATACAAGGGAATCTATGGATGGGTGTTGTACTCTCTAAGAGCATGAACCCTTCTAGCCTATAACTGTTATATATATAAACATGTATAAGTTGACACACCCCCTAGGCTAGACAAGGGTCAGTGCCTAGCAAGAGGCACACAGCTCATGGCGGCACTGCTAGTCCAACCTCTGAGGCAAGGGTCTAAAGACCAGTCAGCAAGCGTACAAGCTAAACAAAAACAACAAAGGGCGGCACTACTAGTCCAGCCACAGGAACAAGACTCCAACCCCCAAATTGCAGACTTTTTACTCTGATTCAGACCTTTTTCAGAGTTTTTTGGGGGTGTGCTCTGATCCCAAAGATCTTTTTTCTATGTTACTCTGATTTTTCATAGAAGTTTTATGTACCTACGCTGATTTTTCAGACTTCTTTTACAAAGTGTACTCTGATGCTTCATCCTTGTATGGGAGGGGGATTCTGATTCCACTAATACCGTCATTTGAGGGGGGGGTGCGAGATTTGCGTTGGTACCTCTGTCGTCACCATCAATCACACCGAATTTACATTTGCGCTGGCGCGGCCCGAGCCATCGGGCGGTCAAATTATGTGCGATGGCGCCAGCACAGAGATAGCCCGAGCAGCCGATTGGTCCTTTACCAAAACACGGTAGTTTTTGTCAACTTATACATATTATCTATGTAGAAGTTATAGGCTAGACTGAGGTATGCTTCTAGTGAGTACAAGTATTTGTTCTAGGTTTCTACATCTAGTCATTATTCGTTCTCACTTTAACATGGTATCACGCGTAGGTTAGCATCCCCCACCTACCGCTTCCGCACGTACCCTAGCTAGGCCACTTCGCGCCTCCTAGCCCCGTCGCGCCTCCTAGCCACGTCGCCCCCCCCCCCTCCTGGGCCACGTCGCGCCACCCTAGCCCCGTCGCGCCCCTCCTGGGCCCCGTCGCGCCACCCTAGCCCCGTCGCGCCACCCTAGCCCCGTCGCGCCCTGCCTGGCCTCGTCGCGCCCTGCCTGGCCCCGTCGCGCCCTGCCTGGCTCAGTCGCGCCCGCCTGGCCCCGTCACGCCCTGCCTGGCCCCGTCGCGCCCTGCCTGGCCCCGTCGCGCCCTGCCTGACCCCGTCGCGCCCGCTCGGCCCCGTCGCGCCCTGCCTGGCTCCGTCGCGCCCGCCTGGCCCCGTCGCGCCCTGCCTAGCCCCGTCGCGCCCTGCCTGGCCCCGTCGGGCCCGCTCGGCCCCGTCGCGCCCTGCCTGGCTCCGTCGCGCCCGCCTGGCCCCGTCGCGCCCTGCCTAGCCCCGTCGCGCCCTGCCTGGCCCCGTCGCGCCCACTCGGCCACGTCGCGCCCTGCCTGGCTCCGTCGCGCCCGCCTGGCCCCGTCGCGCCCTGCCTAGCCCCGTCGCGCCCTGCCTGGCCCCGTCGCGCCCGCTCGGCCCCGTCGCGCCCTGCCTGGCTCCGTCGCGCCCGCCTGGCCCCGTCGCGCCCTGCCTAGCCCCGTCGCGCCCTGCCTGGCCCCGTCACGCCTGCCTGGCCCCGCCGCGCCTCCCTGGCCCTGCCGCGCCTGCCTGGCCCCGCCGCGCCTGCCTGGCCCCGTCGCGCCCTGCCTGGCCCCGTCGCGCCTGCCTGGCCCCGTCGCGCCTGCCTGGCCCCGCCGCACCTGCCTGGCCCTGCCGCGCCTGCCTGGCCCCCGCCGCGCCTCCCTGGCCCCGCCGCGCCTGCCTGGCCCCGCCGCGCCTCCCTGGCCCCGCCGCGCCTGCCTGGCCCCGCCGCGCCTGCCTGGCCCCGCCGTGCCTTCCTGGCCCCGCCAGCACCTGCCTGGCCCCACCGCACCTGCCTGGCCCCTTCGCCCCGGCTCGTCCTGCCGTGCCGCCTCGGGCTCCGTCTCCGCTGCTCGCCCGTGCTGAGGCGCTTCGCGGCCGCCGTGCTGGAGGGGGCTGTGGCTGTGTTCCTGTGGAGCTGTGCCGCTGACCCTGCACGATGGCGGACTTCGTGCTCCGACTGGACGCCGAGGGCCATGCGGTTGACTTCGCCGCCTGGCTCTCCGATCTCTGCCGCCACCTTACAGGTCAGTGTGTGTCCCCTCTCAGTGTGCGTTCACTGACGTTTCGGCTGCGGTCGCCTCGGCGGCCCCTCTCACCGAGTCGGCTGGTGCGGTCCACCCGCAGCAGCGCTCGCGCCGCGGTGGCCGTGGTCGCCAGGGGGGTAGGGGTGGTGGTGGCAGTAGTGGTGGTGACGGTAGTCCGCCTGCGGGGACTACCACTGGTGGGCAGGAGCAGCAGCCCCAGCCGCAGCAGGAGCAGCCCCAGCCGCAGCCGCCGCCCCAGCAGCAGTTACCGTCCCAGCAGCAGTCGCCGCAGCAGTGGGCCCGTCTCCCGCCTGGTTGGCCCGGCACCTCCGGAGGTAGTGGCCGTGGTGGCGGCCCGCGCAGCTTGGCGTCTACCGGCGTCTCCGGTGCTGTCACCTGCCAGTACCAGCTTCAGACTGGGCCTCTTCGCAGCACTCTGTGCCGCCGCCCGCACCCGACCGCCCGCTGTTTCCGCCGCCTCGACGATCTCTTTCGTCGTCGCTTTGGCCCGGCCCCAGACCTCCCCGACTGGCACAGCCTGCTCCGCCAGGGCGTGCCGATCTTTGAGTTAGACATGGATCAGCTAGGTGCTGCTTTGCATGCTTTGTATTCAGACACTTCGAGTTTTGCTGGATCTTATTACCCTGTGTACTCTAGTTTAGGTGTTGCACCACTGTGTAGCTTAGCCTCCCCTGCTGCGTCAGGCGTAGGACTGCTTAGGTTGCCTAGTCTAGTCGCTACACCGGCTCCGTCCCCGGCCTCCGCCACTGCGTCGCTGTCCTTCACTCTCGACTCCGGTGCTTCTGCCTGCTTCTTCCGCGACCGTTCCACGCTCACGCCGCTTGCTGCACCTGCTGTTGTCTCTCTCGCTGACCCCTCTGCGGGTCCGGTCGTCGCGCGCAGTTCTACGTCCCTTCCCTGTCCGGCAGTTCCCTCGGGCTCCCTTACTGGCCTCCACGTTCCCTCGTTCTCCAGGAACCTGGTTGGTGTCGGCTGTCTCCAGGACCTCGGCGTCACCACCACGTTCCCCGGGCACGAGCGGTTCGCTGTCTGTTCTGAGGCTGTCTCAGGTTCCCCCCTTGCGACGTTCCCCCGGGACCCGGTGTCCGGTCTGTTTACCCTAGACACCGCTTCCCCCCCGGTTGGTGCGTCCTCCCAGGTCGCTGCAGCTTGCTCGTGTCGGTCCCTCACTCACCCCTCCCTTCTCTGGCACCACCGCTTAGGTCACCCTGCTCTCCCGCGTCTGCGTCACATGTCCCAGCACGGTCTTGTCTTAGGTCTCCCTGCATCGCTCCCTGCCCTTCCTCCCTCAACTGCGCCACCGTGCACGCCTTGCGTCGAGGGTCGGCTTCGCCGTGCTCCTCACTCCTCCTCGCTGCGTCCTGCTACTGCCCCCCTTCAGACCCTGCACTTGGACGTTTGGGGCCCTGCCCCCGTCCCCGGACCGCGCGGTGAGCGCTACTTCCTTGTGCTCGTCGACGACTACACGCGCTACACCACGGTGTTTCCCCTGGAGCGGAAGGCCGACGTACCCGACGTTCTTCTCCCGTGGGTTGTGGCTGCGCGTCTCCACCGCGGTCTCCCCGTGTTGTGTCTCCACTCCGACCGTGGCGGCGAGTTCGCCTCTGGTCGGCTTGGACAGTTCTGTCGTGCGGAGGGCATCACCCAGTCGTACACCTTGCCGGACTCGCCACAGCAGAATGGGGTTGCTGAGCGCCGCATCGGCTTGGTCATGGAGGTCGCCCGTACCTCCATGATTCATGCCGATGCCCCCCATTTTTTGTGGCCGTTCGCTGTTCGCTACGCTGCTCACCAGCTTAACCTGTGGCCACGCTCCCAGCGGCCGCAGGTTTCGCCGACCCTCCTTTGGACCGGGTCCCCGGGTGACGCGTCTGCATTCCACGTCTGGGGCTGCCTTGCTCACGTTCGTGCCTCTGGCACGGACAAGCTCACTGCCCGCACTGTCCCCTGTGTCTTCCTCGGTTTCCCCCTGGACTCGTCTGACTGGCTTTTCTACCACCCGCCGTCTCACCGCTTCCTCCACTCTCGTGACGTCACCTTTGACGAGTCCGTCTCCTTCTACCGCCGCTTCCCTCACCGAGGTCTCCCAGTTGCCCCCCCCCTGTTCCTTGCTCCCTCTCCCCCGGTAGCCCCTGCCCCTCTCCCGCCTCGTCCTGCCCCGTCTGGTGTCTCTCAGGTCACTCCCCTCCCGTCGGTTGTCCCCGTTGAGGAGTCTGCTGACTCTGGTGGTACCCCCGGTCGGTCCTTGCCGCGTCCCCCTTCCCCGGTGCCTCCGCCCCCACTGTCGCAGTCGCCGACCCCGCTGCCGCCGCCGTCGCCGTCGCTGCCGCAGCCGTCGCCGCTGTCGCAGCCGCCGCAGCCGTTGCCGCCACTGCCGCCGCCGCTCTTGGCCCCTGGGGGTGCTGGTGTGGAGGAGGGTGTTCGTCCTGCGGCTTCTGGGGGTGCCGCTGGTGTTGGAGGGGGTTCTCGCTCTGGGGGTGTTGGTTCTGGGGGTGCTGCTGTTGAGTGTTCTGCCGACGGTCGTTCTGCCTCTGCTGGTCCGAGAGTTCCGGCCCAGCCGTCGTCGCCGCCGCACCAGCCGTCGCCGCCGGTTTCCGCTCTCCGCCTGCTCGGCCTTCCCTCACCGGACCACGCGCCGGTGTCTCCCCCACCGGCTGCTAACCTCCCTGTCTACGGTCCTGTGTTCCCGCCGCCGGACTCGTCTCCGGCCCGTCTTCCTCCTCGTTCCCCTCCTGTGTCTCCTCCGCTGTCCCCTGACCCTACCCCTCCGTCTCACGTTTGGGCTCGCCGTCCCCCCCGTGCTCGTCCCGTC